CTACTGAGCTAACAAGATAACAGAAATTGTGAACTAATTGGAACAACAATTGACTCGTAACAGAATGCAGGTAGCTGCAACTAAGTTTCCCTCTTTTCTTTTGCTTTATCATTTTCTTCTTTTCTTTTTATTTCCATGTTATCGATTTTGGATTCAATACTCCAACAGAACCCAAGAAAGCTGTGGGGTATAATCGTAAAGTCTCTTTGACAATAGTTTGAATATAAACCAATTTGTTGATATCTGATTCTTTTACTCGCCTTTCCTTTCCAACATGAATGTCCAGTTCTTCTTGAACCTTTTTCAATACATGGCGGTTGTTTAGTAACAGGGCTACTGTCCATAGTAGCATGACCGGAGTTGTGTCACATCCGCCAGCAATTAAACTGTAATAATGATAAGATAAGATTTACTTCTAAAATAAGTAACGTTTTTTCCTTAAAGTAAGAGAAAAATAACTAACCTTGGCCCGATTTGATTTAACTAAAAAGTTGATGAAAATTAAAGTCAAAATTAACAATTAATTCTAACCACATTTTATGGGATTCACAACTATTATTTAAATTTATTAAAAATCTATTTTCTAGAAAACCAAACAAGGATTTATATGTTCAGATGAAAGAGTAACTATTATCTAATTTTTAGCTTGACGACCAAATATTCTCTTAATTATTTTGCCTCATAATTCTCTCTTATATAATTATGAAATGGTATGATCACTTCCTTTATGGCTTAGACATTTTATGCTTACAGAATTACTGTCACATTATACATTCTATTGACATGTTAGATGTATTGGATTCGATACTATTGAAAACATCAAGGAAAAAAATGAATATGTGCACGCCATACCATGATCATTTATTAGTGAATATCAAACATATATTGCGTAGTTCTTAATGCTTTCCAATTTTTGGATTTCTTGAAAATCAAGAAATTTTAGTTTTTTTTTTTCCCTAAAATAGACCGATATAAAATATCAAGAAAGAAAAAACACATCAAATTTAGAAAGGTGTGATCTAATCAAGAAACGGCACAAAAAAAAATAAAAAATAAAATAAAACTTACTAGGCATGTGAATTTGATGATTGTATCAAGATCTTAATCTTGAAGGTTTGTGCCTTCTACAGCTGAAAGCATCACATCCATGAAATCCCGCTCACAACCAGAATTTGCCATAAGCTTGTGCTCTTCCAACCATTTCTCAACAATTTTAACCATTTCTTTTCCAGGTTCTTTCATTTTTTTCTCATATCCACCTATATCCAACCATCTAAGATAAGGGATATTATCACCCACAATAAAAAGTCCAGCCAAATGAGAGAAATCCCTCATTACTTTCTGGCATTTCCTTGCCTCTATTTTATCCCCATCAGCAGTTGCACCAAAATATCTTTTCCCAACAACCATTCTGAGAACAACATTCAAGTTCAAGTCCCCGAACCACTGCTTCATTTCCACCAAAACCCGACCTGACCCATCTTTCTTCTTGTTCCAGTACTTGTAAAGCTCTTTTGTGGATACCTATTAAAGACAGTGTTGGATTTTCTTGACTCAAATTATGTTGGATTTTTTAAACAAAAGATTTTTTCCTTCTTTGCACAAGTTTTTTACTGGAAAAATATTGGTAAAATATTGTTTCCTTTATTCCATGCTATTTTTTATCTTGTTGCCATCTTCTAGGGTTTAGCATCCACCATTATAAATACTAGACTCTTTTCACAAGCTGTGTATTACTGAAATATAGAATAATTGTGTAGGCACAATTATTATATTTGTTTTCTCCATATTAATCAATTGAATAGACTCCATTCCTCTGCCAATTAATTCTTTGTCTTTTATCTTATTGTTTGTTTGCAATCATATACTTCATATCATGCCATATATATTATCTCGATCTTTTTTATTTCCCAACAAGTGGTATCAGAGGTATTGGTTGTGATTTGTTCGATATTTTTGTTATTGATGATAGCCTTGAAGTATGAAATTCTGCTCTTGAATCACAATACAATATTTTCATTATGGCAAGTGAAGATGTGAGTACAACTTGCGCATATGGATTTGGATGATGCGTTGTTGAGATTTGACAAAATGCCCACAACTAAGACGGTGGAAGGCTCGGAACGCACTTTCACAAATTCATCTTCATCTCTCTAACAATTTTTTTCAAGACATTTTAAAAGAGAAAACGGCAGTTACATTGTGGTTGAAGTTAAAGCAATTGTACATAACTAAAAGTCTAACAAGCAAATTACATCTGAAGTAGAGGTTGTATTCTCATCGCATGGCTGAAGGCGGATCTTTGGAAGATCATCTGTCTGTGTTCAAAGATATTGTTACTGATTTGGAGACTTTAAATGTAAAGTATGATGAAAAAAATTAGCATTAAATTAATCATTTTGTACACTACAACAAAATTAGTCATTTGCAACACTTAAAAGGCAATATTTGTCGATAAATGTTGTCAAAAGAGTCTTTTGACAATATTTTAGTAAGTGAATGTTGTCATTGGTTAGTATAAATGAGTTTTAGCAACATTTTATAGAAAAATGTTGCGATAGACCCCTTTCTGCAACGTTTATTGAGTGTTGCGGAAGGTCTCACTTTTCGCAACGTTTGACAAATATTGCGAAAGGCTTTTCTTTTGTAACATTTGATAAACGTTGCAAAATGTCTCACTTTTTGCAACGTTTGTCCATTTGACAAACGTTGCGAAAAGTGAGACGTTTTGCAACGTTTATTAAATGTTGCGGAAATTCACTTTCTAGAACGTTTATTAAACATTGAGAAAACTTTCGTAGTCTTTTAAATTATACAAGGGAAGATACAACCTCAAATTAGCCAAACCCTACCCTTATTCACACCCTCAAACTAGCCCATTCCACCGACTCACCTGTGGGTCCATTTTCCGGCAACCAATGGCCGACCAAACTGCCGGAACCCTGCCTCTGACTTCCGTACATTCTCCACCAAACGACCAACCATTAAACATAAAATTGGCGACGACTAATGGAACAACGCATGGGAAACGACGTGGGGACAATAAATCATCTTTTACTATTCCTTTCCACCTACATTCGATAAGAATCTGTAATCATCAATTAATACATAGTAGTGAGTGGTGAGAAGATGATTTTTGTTTTTGAAAAAGGTCAATTGAGAGAAGTGATCTATCTCGTTTTCGAGTGCTTGCGATTAAGAAATGGGTATATGGGAAGCTTTTCTCAATTGGCTTAGGAGGTATGTAAATTTTTGTTTGTAATTTATCATCTGTGAATAGTGTAATAAACGGAAACTGTAGTGGGCTTGCTAAATAATGTATCAATTTTGTTCTCATTGAGGAATTTGAGCATTTATTTAGCTCATTGACCGAGTTTGTGTGATTGTTTGGTGGTTTTCCGGTCCGATGTGTTTTTGTTTTGTTAAATTGTTGCGCTGATTGGAAATTTTGTATCTTTATACTTTGTCATCTACTTTATTGGGATTATTGTTATGTTCAAATGGGAAACTTGGGTGGATTAAATTCAATGCTGGAATATTACAATTAGAATTAGATAAAAATGAAGATTTAGGATTGTTTTGTTAGATAGAAGTATTCTGTTGGCATTTATAGTAATCGAATTTACCAGTTGTTATCTTTGTTAACTAATTTTGTTATCTAGGAAGCTTGCAGACAAAGTTGCAGCTTCTGGGTTCTTAGTAGTGGTTTTCCATTTCTATTATGGCGATCCATTCGATCCTGATAGTCATGGATTAGAGCCACAGTCATGGATGAAGGCTCATCCCACGGTTTGTTCTACTTCATTCTGTACAGATTTCACTGCATGTGTCAATAGCATGCCACATAGCAAATGATTATACTTATTTTTAAAGCATTCCACACTCAAAATTTCACGTCACTGTTCATCGAAGCCTTTGCATAAGAGCTGGATCCATTTCTTTTCACTATGGCTATCCTTTTATATTCCTAGATCCACATTCATACTGAAATGTGACAATCCAATGATCCATTTCTTTGGCCTTTCAGTTCCACTGCAGATCAGACTTTTCTTTGTTCAAATAGAACTGTGTAACTGTGAGCATGTTAACTTGAGAATTAATTTTTCATCCTTCTTTCATTAGCCCGCAGCAGCTGTGGAAATTAGTAGGTTCTTGGAATTGAGAACCGATCCTGTTAGTTGAGAAGAGGAAGAAAAATGGGATTCTGGACCCTATTTGAGGTGGCGTCGATGCCAATACCACATGTTCTCTTAATAAGTTCATTAGGAGTTTTTATGGCTTCTAATTATCTCAACCTTCTGCATGTGGATGCTTGAAGGTCTTTGAACAAAGTAAGTTAATATGAATGATAAATCAAGCTGGAATGGGATACCACAGCTTATATATTTCGTCTGACGTTAATGTACTTTGGAAATATTGTGGCATATCAGACTGTGTTTATGATCTTCATTCTTTCACTCATGTTTGTAAATCTTGCAAAGACTGTTACCCTTCAAGACATTGTCTCATGGTATATTTACTCAAACATTAATACTCATTTTGATATGAGCCACAGTCATAGATTATGAGTTCATTCTCTATGTAGTGTGCACAATCAACATTTTCCTCTTTAGCATGATCTAAACGAAAAAGGGTCAGCGTTCTTGTATTTATTTGTGCATCACTTGGATTTTGTTCTTTTAGGAGAAAGGGTTCGAGCATGTTTAGGCAGTAATTTCCACTGTGAAAAGCAACGGCGTATCTGTTGTAGGAACTGGTGGTTTTTGTTGGGGAGGTTAGTAAATTTTAACAAGTGCAGTTTTTCCTCAAACTTGAAAAAGTATTCAACTTTCTTGCTCTGGTTTTAGGGATGGTTGTGGTGAAATTGGCAAAATTTGATTGCATTAAGGCTGCAGTTGTCTTAAATCCTGGTCCAATAACAGAGGAAGAAATAAATGGTAAATTTCGTAGATTTTACTTTCTTTCAGAAAGGTTTTCTTCTTATATTGATGATTGATACTATGGTATTTCAGAGGTGAAATGTCTGATTGCTTTATTGGGAGCTGAGATCAACCAGTTTACTTCTGCTATCGAGGATGATGACGATGATGTGGATTTGTTTGGTGAGGAACACTCTACAGTCGTGAAGGCATCTGGAAAGAAGAAAGAGAGTAGTTTCTTTGTTACGTTTATAATCGAGTTTTTCCATTACCATTTTTTTAATTTTGAAGTTTATTTTTATTTAAGTGGTGTTGTGAATTACATTCTAATGTTTAAGTGTATGGATTCAAAAATTTCTAATGAAATTATCAACTTTTATGCAATTTCAAAATTTGTTCATAAGGTATATTTTCAATTTTGTCAATCTATGTTGAAAAAAAAAGCCCCTACGGCAACATTTGGCAGACGTTACGAAAGGCAGTTTTTCGCAACGTTTGGTAAATGTTGCTAAAGGTAGTCTTTCGCAACGTTTGCCAAATGTTGACGTATCTCTCTACAGCAATGTTTAAAAAACGTTGCCGTAGACTTTCGGCAACATTCAAACAATGTTGTCGTATCTCTCTACTCTACGACAACACCTCGATTTGCAACACACGTCCAAACGTTGCCGATTCCAAGAGCTGAACGAGAATGAATACCACACAGAAGAGTCAAGCCCAGGCTCCCTAATGGAATGTTTAACCGATCCATTCCGGATCGACCGAATTGGTACGGAAGTTGTAACATGGGAAAACCACGGAAAACACGACTTATTTGAATAA